CTGCACAAACAGAGTAATGTTGTGTATGTTGTTCAGTGTCAGGAGGGCTGTGATCAGTCTTACATCGGGGAAACTAAACAGCCACTGGCTGAAAGGATGGCCCAGCACAGAAGGGCAACACCATCAGGCCAGGACTCTGCGGTCTACACTCAGCGGTCACTCTTTCAGGGATGAAGATGTTCACATCCTGTATAGAGAGGAACAATGGTTTGAGAGAGGAGTAAAGGAGGCCATCTTTGTGAAAAGAAATCGTCCATCATTAAACGGGTGGAGGCCTCCGTGTTCAACTGTCCCCCTCTTACAATGCTGTGATTACTAGTATCACTCAGCCCTCTGTGAATAGTAAACAGCCATCAGTGTGCTAATGATCCCTTGTTAAGCCGATGGTCCTTCTTGATCATGTGAGCAGCTGGTTTTGGTTGTCAGCAGCAAAACTGGTTGATCCACTCTGAGAAGGTGCTATTTAAGAGACTGAGCTGAATACAGCGCCTCAGACTGAGGAAGTCTTTCGGATGAAAGACGAAAGGTTTCTACATTTTTTTGTTGTTTTGCTGTGTTTTGTTTTTTGAATATCCAAATGACCAAATTTAACTTTTTTAGATTTTTCTACCTGGATTATTGAGCATGCATCAGGATATCCATTTGTTATTTCCTGAAAAGGTAAAATAAAACTATTATGTACTTTTTTATATATATTTTTATAATAGACAGACAAAGTTTATGGCAAAGTCTTCAACAAATAGGTTGTACAATCAGTGAACAATTGGAGAATATGTTGGTGATCACTGAAAGCTACTACCGCTCCAAAGGTGAGCTCATTTTCTTAAATAGTGAAGTTATATTTTGTGTTTGGTAAGTTATATTAGTTGTGGCAGCCATCGTAAATCAGGATGACTAAACGTTGATCAATTCTAAACGCGCATTTATTGCTTACTTTTTGAAAGTTTCATTAAATCCATCCACCGATTTATGAGATATTTTGCCAACAGACAAATATTAATAAAGAGATGCACTGAAACTTGCAAAACATGACTTCTCGTCTTTTACCTACCTTTTTCTACAGTTATTTTAAGCTTTAAAATAAAAATAAAAAATATTTTGATTTATGTGGGATAAGTGGCTATTTTGACCTATCAACTCATAATTCTCATTTGTCAATTATCACTGATGTTGATGAGGCCATTTCCAAACCCATAACCAGGATTTGACCTCATACAATAATTTACATCTCTTTTAATCTCTTCCCTTACTTATATAGCTCCCTATCCACATGTGGTATGGCTCAAATAGTTATTGATTATGCCCTCACAAATTTGGCGAGATAAAGGAATCACTCTTTACTTAGAAACCTGTGCACAAATCCACCCTAAATCACAAAAATGGAGAAGGGGCAGTTACTGACGTTAATGTCCGTCTTTACAAGGGTGAGTACTTGTGCATTCACTGAGTGTTTAATCGACAGATAAAACCGTCTATCCATTCACATATTGATGTTCCCTATGACAACTGCTTATCCACGTAGAGCAGGGAGACACCAGAGGCCTTTCAATCATTCGCCAGCTGAAGGGAACACAGAGGAGAAGAGCAGATATGCATGCATCTCTTATAGGGAATTTACACCACATGCTCAATTATTCCACTGCAACAATGCAGGTTAAATCAGAGGAGGAGTCAATCACTGTGTACACAGGATAGGTTCTGTCACTGTATGAGAGCTCAGCCCAGTCATCTCCTTCCAGCAGGTAATCAATATTGGCTCCCTCTTTTCTGATCTGCTGCCTCTGACCAACAACAATCACTAAAAACTGTATAATTGCAATGGCCATAATGCGCCTGTCCTGGTCAAAGAAAAATTGGTTAGATGAGAACGTCTTGTGGACATATACAGAATGCCTTAAGGTACCTTATAGACATACCTCTGCAATATCATGCTCTGCGGTATTGTGGTATAGACAGACAGTCCAGTCACCTTATTAACGTCATGTTTAGACATATCGACCTCACTGCAGTGCTGATCAATCTGCGGTTGGAAAAGACAATAATGCAGGCTTGATTTCCACAATGGCCAATGCCTCCAAGGCACGTATGACTTGCACTCGTGGAAAACAGTTTCTTCATTGGTAGGATTGAACTGGTTGTTGACTATCATTTACCTATTGGGAAAATTTGCCCTGTGTCAGCATATCAGATCCCAAAGTTAATGTCGACTTGAATGTATTGAGTGCTAAAATGAGTCTTCTATGATGATGACAGTCTGGAACCGCTCTAATAGGACTGGGAATCACTTAATGTTTTATGAGTAATATGCTGCTTAATCTCTATGACGATGTGAACACATGACAGATCTTCGAGATGATGGAGTCGACTGGTAACATAATAAAGGTGCCCTTCTTCTCACTCAGCATCCCTGATATTAATATTTTCATCCAGTAATGACTAAAAGCCGTTTCATTACTCATTAATCAGCATCTGAAGCTGCCGCTTTTCAGTACACATAGAAATATGAGCTTGTGATTTCACAGGAGGAGCAACGTCTAATGTGGCAACAGTTGGCAGGGTAATAAAACACTATACTCATGTTGTCTGTCAGGGCTCTTCGGCAGTGCGTGCCACCAAAACTGAAAGGGCCAAATGATGTAGTAGCCTAACACTGAGCTGTGAGATACAGACATTGCATCGTTGCTGAGTGTCTTCCAGGCATCTGTGACAATCAATACTTAAAACAGCTGCAGGAAAATATGTGGAATCAGCACATTCAAGGTAAAATAGCCACAAAATTGATTTGCAGGTTCGTTCAAGCATCCAAAGAGATTTAACTGTGAACAATGTCCGATTCTTATCAAATCAACCTGTGAGCGTGTGAGTTTCAGCATATATTAAAGTGAAGAACTGGTAAATTAGACCAAGTCAGCAAAAAACAGAACATCACAAAAGTTTAGAAAAATTAAGTCTGATTTATGGTCATCTGTGTGAGAAGTTGTTGCAGTGGTGCATACGTGTTTGTGATTTCTTTGTGTGCTTAAATCAATGGTCATCCCCCTGTTGCATGATGGCCTCATAAATCATTGTTTGTTGATCACTTGTCAGGAGGCAGGGGCCTTATGGCGTTCTCCTAATTATTCCAGCTCACAGCCCCAGTGGATGAATAAGGACGGGAATGCCAAAGCAAATCAAGGCAGTGGACTTTACAGAAATATGGCCATAAAGGTAGTTTCGTTTGGAGGGTGGGGGGTTTGGGGATGTGAGCTTCAAGACAGTGAAGAGAGTAGGGGGAAGGGTGAGTGTTGGCGTGTGGGTTAGTGCTGGACAAGCTGGATTCTGGGGTGCACTGAAGTGAAAAATCCAGGGTATAAGAGTATCAGTCACGCAGTTCCAACGTGCTGGGAGGGGTTGGGGGGGGGGACTTGTCACGAAAGAAATAAACCAGTTTACCAAACAGCTTTGTACTAGGTTTTGAGACTCTTTGACCACTTGATATCATATACTGTAACTCTAAACATAATTTGTGCACTTCCTTTTTAGGGCCTCATAGGTAAAAATTATAGTTCAGATTTTTTTTTGTAGTAGGGTTCTGTGAAAACTGTGATCAATGGACATCTTCCTTGTTGTCAATTGCTATTTGAAGGTCCTGATGGATGCTCAATAATCCAGGTAAAGAAATCAAACAAGGTTGAGTCACGTCCGCTGGACGGATTCTTCTTTGGTGAAAAAATGAGGATCACTTCACGTATGTGCGTGCCATCCTTGTTCAGAGGAGCCATGCTAATCCTCTCTATCATTCCAATTTTAGTACGTGCTACCGAAGTAACATTGGATGACACACAAATACGTGAAGCATTTCTAATCTTTTCAATGTATAAGAATCCGTCCAGATCACCTGACTCAACCTCGTTAGAGCTCTTTGAAGGGTTTCACTTTTGAGAAAAATACTTTATTTCTGCCAAGAATGATGAGCTAACTGAGGGATCCTAGATGAAAGTGAAGTTCTGTCATCTTTAAACAAGTCCAGTCTTAAAAATGTTTGATAGCGGTTCGTTGTGAGAACCAATTCAAAATCTTTTACATCACTGTTAATGTCCAATTTGCATTTCTTGGTTCTTTTCATACAATTTTAAGGGTCGCAGCTCTGGGATCCTGGAAGTTAAGACCAGCATCCCTGTGACTGGTTCTGGTTCAAGGTCTCCTACTTTTCTATGTAAACAAACAAGACATTGCCTTTGGTAAAATATTCAAATCACCTCAGATAAAGTTTCCAGGTGTTGAGTCTTGTTGATTTATCTTGTTTATCAACTCTCTGGTTCCAAAATTAGCACAAGAACTTAAAACTGAGTCTTGTTAGTTTCAATCACCAACAATGAGAGAAGGCAGGGACACTTGGTCTAGTATCGTAATAAATTTTGATTATGCAAATAACGACAGCAGCAGCTAACTGTAGCACCTCCTGTGCAGCCTGGGGCGTATCCAGCAGAAAAGTAATAATAATTCTTCAAAAATAACCACATAATACAAAATTAACAGTGATTTAAAGGTTTATAAAATAGCTTTCAAGTAAACTGCTATGAAATTTGTAGACTGGTGATGTTTTAATACAGCATCAGTTCATTTTGTTTGTGGCAATCGTGAAAAATCTATGTGCAACAGGTAAGATATTAATTGCTCATAATATTTCCACAATACCCCATTTCAAAAGATGTGAATTGTCCGTTGAAATCTATTAATAAGCAGGTTTGTGTAACCTAGGCTCATTTTTTTTCAGTACAGTGATAGTCCAGAGGACCAGATTGAACTTTCTTGGATTTTTCTACCTGGATTATTGAGCATGCATCAGGATATAGTGATAGTACTAGATTTTTTTGGTCTACCAAAGATGCCACACGTTTGTAATCTTTTTTGTGGTTTTGAGTTAGGACAAAACATATGAAATGCATCATGTTTTGAGCAAGGAACAGTTTAATGACAAATTCTGTCAAATGGTTTGCCTAAGTGGTCACAGTGTAGTATTGGCTTTCGGTGTCATTAACTTTCCAGCAGTAAGGAAGTTTCTTTCACCACTGACCAAATTGCTTTAAATGCACAGCAATTACACGGTTGAGCCTGGTACTTAAAAGATGAGCAGAGTATTTTTATAGTGAACCCTCATAGGATTATTAACGAGTTGTTACATGAGGGGAACTTCCATTTTAAAGCAATACCAGGAACAAAATTGTACAGTATGTTTCATTAATATACTGTACCAACTAACTGGTCCTTGGGTTAATTACTGGATTACCCTTTCTAATTTACAAATCTGTAACCACAAATTGAATAATTTAATACAAGAATTGCAGTTTTTCCTTCCACTTTCTTTTCCTCTGTTAGGTTTTAGCTCAGTGTTTTCTATGTGCAGTATCACCTCGTTAAAATGTGTTAGCTCGAGGCTTAAACATGGTCTTAGTATGTTTAAATTCTGCTGAGCATATCACGCAGGCCATGCAAGCTCTTCTCTTTGATATATACATTTGCAGCATGATGTGTGGTTTTGAAAATCAATGAGCAGAACTCTTTGGATCGCGTGTGTGTCTCATCTTACCGCTCTGTAAAAAGTATGACACCGCAGAGGTGAGCCACATACCAACACAGCAACACATACAGAGACTGAGCTATAGATCTGCAGTATTTGGATTACATTTTTAAATGTAAGCTATATCTTATTCCTGCAGTATATATTAACAAACATCTACGATACAAAAATATTTACATAAAGATCGAAGAAAGTTGTTCAGTGTTTAGTTTTGGCCGATTTAAGATGGCCACTACAGCAAAATGAACTTAGAAATCATAAAACTGGCTATGCCTCAGTCAAATTTACAGTTACTGAGTTCAAATTTGATGGGGTAGTAGCTGAGTGTCATTCACCTAACACTCCGAGCATTACTACTTATTGTGTGAAATTTTGACTTAAATCTTAGGCTTTAAGTTTTGGTTAAAACTTAAGTTAACCCTGTTTGTTTGTTTGTTTCAGAATGCTGATGCTGTCATTGGATATAATTACAGGTATAT